AATAATAATAATAATAATAATAATAATAATAATAATAATAATAATAATAATATATAAGTAGCTAGCACGTCCAGAGCTCGTAACACGCCTCACCAAACTACCCGCTAAAAGCACCTGAGTGACTGTCTGAGGGCGCCAGTCAAATGCCGAGAGCTGTCCCCGCGAGCGCGGGCGTGGCGAGGCGAGGCGTCGAGGAACGAATCCAAGGCGAGCGAGCGGGCGCGGGGGCGATTCGTTCGGGAGGAAACGGTCTGATTTGCGCGCGCGCGGGGGGAGCCGCGCTGGGGCGCGACGGCCTTCCATCGCCGACCGCGCCCGGATCCGACGGCAAGAAACGGAATCTTTTTCGTGAGAACTTCCTTGAAAATCGATTGCGACGACAAAAGAAGCGCGAAAGTGACATCCCAGCGCTCGTCCGAGCAGCTTACGTCTGGAAAACGAGCTGAATGAAATTGTTTAGATGTCTATCAAACTCCTGACAGTGGTTTCAGTGAAATAAATGTATCGGAAATCTCGATTTCAAACGCTGTTCGCATGATGTTTTTATTGTTATTTCTCATATTAATGGAACTTTAGGGAAAACGAGTAAGACAATTAGAAATACGTTTTAGACGATAGAGCAGAATATTTTAGTAACTTACCATATTTGCGTAATGGTGTATTAAAAAATTATTCCTGATTTTATTAGTTTTATGTGATCCTCATTGTAGTAAAGACGCGCCTGATTTTGCATATGTAGAAACGAATATTGATTTCCTGATAAAAGTCTTCTCCGTTATTAATGCGATTCTAAAACAGGTGTCAATACTTAAGGTATAGTAAGGCATACGATTGACGAAAACTGACATATGTTTGCGGGATGAAGTGTTTGGTAGGAACTCTTTATTAATTTTAACACGAATGCCATCCCAACGCTGCAAAAATCCACACAAATATATTCTTACGATGCACAGCTGCCATGACTCGCATATAATGGGACTGCGTGTTCACGCAACTCACACACAAGGACACTGAAGCGCTGACAGTTGAACAGTTTTTTTACCTCCCGCAAGCAAACATAGTTTATGATCATTACGAGCTGCTAAGTGGCGGTCCAACGAGGAAGTTGAGCTGCCGAACATGTCACAGGCAACGCCTTTAAATAGAGTCTCTGTCACGGAGACTTTGTGTTTCATGGTTTACACATCTGCAAGGTCTGGTGCTTTGGAATTCAACACAAATCACGAATTCTTATTTCTCTAAAGGAAGTGCAGTCGTCGGTAAATCGAAACCTGTTTCTACGCCTCACGGTAAATCTTCCGAAACGTGTGCAGGGACAAATAGTCGCTAATTAATTCAACATTTTTCTTGATTTGAGCTTTGTTTCAGGCGACATTAAAATCTTTTTTCTACTCGTTTTAACATCGCGGTGATTAGTGACTTCCAAACTCATACGTGATTGATTTCATAATAATTTTTTTTCTAATTTTCAGTTATAGTAATGCTTTGTATAATTGTTATATTCCTAAAAAAATATTTAGTAAATTCTAACATTTGTCCTTGATATGATGGGACCTGTAGAATGGCGTCAAACGTTCTTCCTCCAAGTATAATCTTGCTCTTATCCGATGACAATTTCCTGTCAATTCCTAGAAGTTTCACTGCAAAGGATGTTTCTTAGCTTTAAAGCCACGCTGAACTTGATGGCTACGCTAGTTGGGATCGAGGCGGGAGATTGACGTCAGGGGAAAATTCCTGGAGTTTGACGTATATTTACGAATTAAGAATATAAGAAAATATTCATTAGAAACAGATTATGAATACATACCACATAGTCATAAGAATTCATTCTTTGGAATTTCTGTTTTTTCGAATATTGTGTCGTTAGAAATCGCAATACTGAAACGACGAAATCTAGCCCAGGAATTTACTACGGAGTCAGGAGCACTAAAAACTTAATGGTTTACCTTTACGTAATAAACACTTTTAAACATGTATTCATCATTTCGAGAAGTCTGTAATATAGTGAATTATTATATCTCCAGACATAAGAACTTGAGAACTAAAATTCCAGTTGTTCTAAGACAGTTACGAAGGGAAAAGGAAAAAAAAAATATTGTGGGTTGCATTTGAAAATCTTGAAGCAATTACAAGTTAACCAGACACAGAGAGTGCTCGCTATTCGCAAATGGTAATACTTCTACTTTGGTGAAAATGGGCTTGCCTTGTTACTATATAGTATATTTTGTTGATATTTATGAAGGTTTTGGAGAGTAACAAGATAAAGAACACTTCGACCAAAATCGAGATATTAACATTTACTATTAGTAAGAAGCTTGATGTGGGTGGTATGGCTTATTTTGTTGTGCCCCCAGGCATTCATTATATAAAGATTTATATATTTTTTCTTCCTGGGACTTTTCCCAGCTTTAACGGACGCATATTTCGACTATCAACGCGGGGTACTAACTATGTCCCTCATGGAGACACATGTTAACCTTTACAATAGACACACTAGTAGTCCGCAGACACACAAGGTCTTCCGCGATATCATACGTACATGAAAAGCAAGGAACAAAGAAAAAAGAACATGCATGTTTCTACGACGGGACTGTAGCCCGCGACTCTTCATACCAAGGCGCAGAGTCGACCCACTCTCTAGCCACCTTGGCCATCCATGTCGGCATAAAGAATTTCATCTCAATAATCACACATTTCTTTGTGCTCGGTTGAAATGTTTCGTTTCTGAAATTTTACAACAATAATGCAGAAAGTTAATGAAAGTTTGGTGTTCTGTTGCAGATGAAGACTGGGCGGAGCAGCCGAGCGAGGACTCGCTGTTCCTGGTGCAGCCGACGGGGCGCCCTTTGAGCGGCGCGGGCGAGCGCGGGTGGCGCGGGGCGGACCTCTCCCTCCCGCGCGCGCGCCGCGTGCACAGCAGCGGTAGCGGGGGCGGCGGAGGCGGCGGGGCGGAGCGGGGCTCGGAGCGGAGCGGGACGGACGGCGGCTCACCGCCAACCCGCTGGCGCACGCGCCACCGCCCGCAGTCTGGCCGCGTCGCCGCCGGCCGGCCCGCGCCCCGTTGCCACTTCGCCCTCCAACGACGCCGCCGCCGCAGCGGCCCGCCGCCGCCTTCCGCCGCGCGGGGCCGCCGCCAGGGCCGAGGAGCGCCAGCGCTCGCCTTCACCTTCCAGCCGCTCGGCCCTCTCTCCCCACGCGACCGCTTCAAGGACGCCAAGGAGAAAGTTCCTGCGCTGGAGAAGGAGCGCCTGGAGGAGCAGCGGCGCCAGCGCAGCTGCCCGACCGCGCAAGCGCAGGTCCCCCAAGCCGCCCCACAGACCGCCCGCCCGTCGAGTCGCAGCCCGGTGAGCCGGCCCAATCTCACCGGCCGTCCAGCCGCACGCCGGCCGCAGTACCGCGCGGGGCTCCTGGTCGCGGCTCCCGGACTCGCGAGGACGAGCTGAGGACGGCGCGCTTCTTTCCGCCGCGCAGGCCACGCCTCCCTGCACCACGCGAGGAGCGCTGCTGGACGACGCGGCCCTTGACGACGACGGACGTCTCGACTACCGCCTGCGTTCGCGCGCGCCTCCACCTGCGCGGCGCGACTCGCGCGGCGCCGCGCGACCCTGGCGGTGGCCGAGGAGCCCATTTGAGGACCGCGCGGACGTCCGCGCGCGCGCCGCTGTCCAGGCAGGACGGCGTACCGCGCGGGCGCGAAACGCGAAACGCGAGCGGGAGCGCGAACGCGACCCGCGGGAGTTGCGTTCCGAGCCGCGCCCGGCGCCGCGCTACCCGCGCCGTTGCTACGACGAGTACAGCCCCGAGCGCGCGTCGCCGCCGCCGCCCATGCGCGAGCGCGTGCTGAGCCCCAGCCGCGGCGAGCGCGAGCGGGAGCGCGAACGGGAACGCGAACGCGAACGCGAACGCGGCCCGAGGCCCGCCCCGCGCGTCAACCCTCACGAGGAGATGCGCTACCCGCCGCGCGCCTACCCGGAGGACATCCCGCTGGAGCGGTACCGCAGCCCTGGGCGCGGCGGCGGAGGAGGAGGCGCTGGGAGCGGAGGTCCTGGAGGTCCGCAACCCGCCCCGCGCCACCGGCCAGAGCTGCCTCGAGAGCCCAGTCCCGAGCGCCGATTCAAGCGCCGCACGCTCTTTGACGCGCTCGAGGATGAGCGCAGGCGCACCTCGCACGACCTCGCTCGAGAGTTCAAGCGCCGCTCCTACCAGGTGAGTCCCTCTTCCCACTTCTATGAAGAGCACGGTGCTCCTTCATCTCATTGCAGGATTTCGTTAAAAATAATTCATTTTGGTCATTAAATTTGCAAAATGTTATTTTACTAAATAACGTATAAAAATGTTCATCCAATTGTCTGCATATTTTGTTTACTTATGTTTTGGAGTAGATTAACCGACTCTCAGTTTCCCATACAATAAAGCATTCTGCAATAGACAAAGATCTTATTACATCTGATGTAATAAAAGGTACTGTCTAAGTCAATACTTGCTCATGTTCAGATATAAAAAATATTAATATGTTAAAAAGATCAGATAAGATTAAACATATATTAGTCGTGGAAAAAATGTGGTATGTGATCATTATTATTTATATACTTGCGCTCGTGAATAATAACACGAACAAAACTGTTTCTTTTAGTTTCTTGTAGGATAAATCAATCAAGAGTTTCAATAAGTACACGAAACGAATTATCCTTATGAACTTTAATATTTGTGGTCCTTCAGCAGATTCAACTAATTAATGAATAAACATGTTTACATTTATGACGTCATTAGCTAACGCCTTATATAAAAATCGTTAAATAATTTTCCCTTCTAGGCTTAGTTATAGCGAGGCAGCAGGTGAGATACTCCGTTGCAACATTTTATTCCTCAATATTTATATCCATTTCTTGAATTATTTCAACACAAATTGGTTTTTGAGGGCTGTAATTGAAAACCTTTCACTGTTCCCATTGCGTTTCCGTTACCTGTCTTCTAAGCATCTTTAGATCATAGTTAAACCTTCACTCGTTTTCAAATTAGCTTTCCTCTGCCTTCTCGGTGTGTTGCGTTCCGCGCTTCCAACTGTTTCGAAATAACGCGATGACTCATTCCCATCATTGGGCGCCATCTCGCGCTGTCTTTGCGATGTTATTATGCATGGGCACTTTAATCATAGTCGTCCGCGGGCGGGGATCCCTAAATCACCACTGGCGCTGTCAGAGGAATGTTGCACAAGAGAAGACAACGCGAGGTTACGCTTCATTGTTAGCACGCGCTATTATGCCGGAGGAAATTCATCGCCTGCTTGTGACACGCCTGTGCGTGTTTTTGTCTAATTGCCGTTAGCTCACTTTGTCAATTTGTTACGTTGTCGTCGAAGGTTTTATGGAAGAAATAATTTATGTTTGAAGTTTTCGTTCACACAATGTTTCTTTCACTTTTTCCGCGGGGCGAGGTTTCAAAGTCGGGAAGGGGGAAAGTAAAAGAATATCAAAAATTTCTTAAACTTTAGAGGAAAAATATTAATATTATTTTTATTATATATAAATATTTATATATATATATATATATATATTATATTATTATTATATATATTATCGATAATTCTATCTATCCATCTATCTATCTATCTAATTACCTATCTCTCAATCTACTTCTTCCTCGTCATCCGATCTGTTGACCTACATTCCATAAAGTATTAAAAGACATTATTTCAAATACGTCAATATATTTTCAATTCCATCCGAGAACTTTTAGGAGACAATCACAAACTTTTTATTCGCGAGATTCCCCGTTTGACGCAAGTGTGTGTTCTTCCCCCTCAGGACGGCGGCGGCAGCAGCGCGCCGGACAGCTACCCGGGTGGCTACCAGGAGCTGCCGGAGCGCGAGCGCTACCCGGGTCTGGACCGGGAGTCTGCGCGCGGCCTGCACCACCCTTCGCAGGCGCCCGGCCCCGCCCCCAACCACTCGCCCGCGCGCGCCGCCGGCTACCGCCACAGCTACGCGGAGGGCGTCCTGCACCACGAGCTGCTGCACCGCACCGGCTCCTCCGTGTCGTCGGGCCGCGTCGGCATCGCCGCCGTGCACCCGTACTAAACGCCCTCCCCGCTGGATAGCAACTCAGAACACGCGGCGCTGCGCCAGTTCTACAGGGCCGTCGGCTGGGACACGGAACGTGTTTACTGTTTATGACATGTGTGTCGCATTGTATCGCATACGTCGTGACCATCAATTAAGGACATGCTGCGCCGCATCATCAGCCAAGCCAGCGACTCTGCCAAGCTATCGGAAGAGCCATGGAACGTATTTTCTGTTTGGAACACGAGTCATGATGTCTCGCACTTTATCAACGCACACTGCTACTAACTTCGCTCCACGCAAACGTGGTTATCAACAATTTAGAACATGTTGCTAATCCATAGATTCTGCCAAGCCATGGTATACGCCACAGAAGATCTTTCTTGTCATTGTGTGTTGCATCATATTAGGTGCACGCATACTAACCGTCCTGCACTCCCGCGACGCTGAAAGAGAGCTAGCCAAGGAGCTGCGCGACACTAGTTCTGCTTCGGGCGAGTCACCGAACATTTTCTCTGTTTTATATCAAAGAAGTCATAGCATGTCAGCGTGCAACCTTATTTAACTGCCCGCCATGCTCGCGACCCTCCATGGTGAGCTGATGGACAAGTCGAAACATGCTGCACTGCACCAGATCTGCCAAGTCACCGTCGGAGCCACCGAGAATTTTTCCTGTGTGTTCGTCTGACGTCAAGGTGTGCCACAACGAGTCGACGTGCAGTACCAGTAATCACTCGCCACGCCCACGCTCTGACCAACAAGGCAACACGTCGTGGCCAACAAGTCAGAACATGATAAACAGCACCAGTTACATAGTTCTATCACGACATTGGCGGCATCTACCGAAAATATTTCATGTTTGACTTGAGAGAAGTCACGTCGTATCGTATCGTGTCTTCACGCATACTTCTACTAAACGTCTACTTCATCTGACACTTCCGCCAAGCCATCAGTTTGCTCGTGGTTGCACCCCGAGCTGGTGAAGGCAAATCACATTTCTCTTGCTTTGCTATATTCACCTAATATTTGTTCTACTTTCACAGTAATACTGTGAGAAATACAAAAACATACAGAGTTTACGGCGTGTTAGCACGCGCTTCTATACAATTGCTCTGTATCCCCGCGTGGTGAGAGTCGCAGATTGCTCGCTGAAGACTGCGATTTGACGAAGTCGACGTAACTTGGTGCGTTCCCCCCGTTCTGCTGTGTCATTCACCGTCGGAAGCTGCCGCAAACCTTTCTGATGCTGATTCTACGGATTTATCTGAAAGGCAGCAGATACAACTAGGAAGAAAACAAAATTTCTACCTGACGTTAGGTTACAGTTTCACCGTGCATCGCCATTTATCGCCATTTATCGCCATTTCCACCCGCTCTTCATCTCATAATCGCTGCTTGCTCGTCAAAATATGAGGTGGCGCAATGTATTTCTAATGTCAACGGTGGAGCCAACGAAATGTCTAGAATACGCAGAGTCTACCAGACAACCAGCAAGAACAATGACATTTTATTTCTCTGTGCAAATTATGAAGCGGCGAAATTTATGAGAAGCGCTGTGAGGTAAGAGCTTGAGTAACGTGTTTGAATAATATTTTATTTCACGCTAACGCCTGTTTTACTGGAAACTCCGGAAAATCATAAGTTCCTGTTAGTGGTCAGAAAAGTCATGTTTGAAAATATACACCAACTGAATAAAAGGTCTTCATTGCCAATGTTTTCGATATCATATGTGATAAACTGTAACTTATTACCACCAATATGGTTTATGAAACTGAATTACTGACAAACGTTTTTCCAATTATTCAAGTGCATTTATGTATAAGATCCACACGTTTATTTACACCACAATAACAATAAAAAGTACAAAATCAACGAATAAGATTAAAAAAGAAAAGTTGATACAATGAAATCAAGAAGATACCACGATAAAACACTATAATTTCACTCGTCCAGATTGCATTAAGTGTCTCCGACTGCGCGTTTACGAGACGACAGGTGACCCCACACCTGCAGCAGCCCATGCGTCCGCATCTTCAACCTGGGCGTTTGGCTTCGCAACCACGAAGAGGAACTGGTCGCCGCGAGGTCTCCTGCGGCCCGGCCCCCTACGCGTCGGGGCGGCGGTTCCCGCCAGGTGCCTCCTCCTCCTCCTTCTTGGTGGCCACCGGCGGCGGCGGCGGCGCGTTGGCACCCAGCCATTCGCAGGTGGGGCGCTTTCTCGGGGACCCGAAGCCGTGCCGGTCGCATCTCCCGTCATTTTGTCTGCAGAATCAAACATCCACTTCGAGCAGATTTTGAATGAGCTCTCCTATTCGGCAGTGACATGCAGAATTTCTATCTCTGCTGATGAGAAGGAAAACTATGTTCCATGTGGTGATAACAACCATTTTAGTGTTCGTGAACTGTGAAATTTGTTATTTTCGAATGTTTATTAAAGGACAATGGGTAATGAATAACCTTAATGACTATTAAACTCTTAAAATTATGTGACTGAACGAAATATTTTTTATTTGCTTTATTTTGATGTCATGAATTAAAAATGTCCATGTTAGAATTATTTTAATTTTTGACAATGTGAATAGTGACTTTTTGTGAGTTCAGAGTGTTAGAATTTTCAAAACCGATGTATGAAATGTTACTTTGAATGAATCTAATAACCGATTCCAGATGCAACTCTTACGAAAGCCCGTACAAAGGGCAACGACTCCAGTGATGCGCCCTGGAAGCTTGTTCCGAAGCAGGCGGCTCATCGCCGGCGCCGCCTCGTCCATCCTCTCAGCTCGCGCACGGCCGCCACTCGCGGGGTGCGCTTTGAGCTCGCCCAAAGCTCATTTCGCGACTGCTACACGCCGCTTGCGTCACGCAACCGGCGTTTAGCGGCGCCCAGGGCGGCCGGGGCTGCAGCGGCCACGCGGCGAGGGTAGCCTTCGAACGCGCGCTGCGGGTTGCGGCGCTCGCAGGGGCAGACGCCTCCGCCGCCGCTGCTGCTTGTGTCTGTTGCATATGCAAGGCGCAACGTGCTGGGCGGCGACGGGGGCGGAGGCGGTTTGAGACCTGGCTTGAGCCACGCTGCCAAGCAGCGACCTCGAGCCATTGCGGGCTCCACGCGGGGTGACGAACTGGCGGGACCGCGGCTGACGCGTCTCTTTCCGTTCTACAACATACACTCTCATTGATGTGAAAAAATATTACATATATAACGTAATAACAATTAAATTTTGTATTAAAACTAATATTTCACTATAAAAATAATGTAATTACCTGCCCGAAATAGAATTGTAAAATTCATACACACATGTACCAATTTGTTAAATAAGAATATCAGAGATGAACGGAAATTACATTTCACAGAATGGAAACGCTGGAACAAACAATCAACATTTTTTCTTCAAATCATGGGTCATTATAACTATACATTTCATGAATAAAACAAATGACAAAGAGGCAATTACTCGACGACATGAGTAAATGTAGATCGGTTGAAAAGCATTGTTCAATCCAAACCTTTTTTATAAATGTCTCATTGTAAACCTTTGCGATATTTGCGTAACCACACTCCTGCCTCATCTCCGCTGGTAATTGCAAGCACACGACCTACTCCGCTTGGTCGAAGGGAAAATCGTTGTGGACGCTGACGTCGTCGGCGCTCATCATACGCGTCGGAAATTCCTTGACTGCCATTTCAAAGCGGCTTTTGATTGACTCGCGCGGTCGTTAGCAACGGCGGTGAAATGCAGTTTTCGCAGCGTTGCCAGACACACGACGCGTTCATTCGTCAACTCTCCCGACAGCGGGCGAAGCTCTCACGCTCTGTCCGGCGTCATCGTTCACGGCGATTGCACGCGGACGAGCGAGTTCACAGAGAAATATTGTGTTTTCTGTGGGTGCTGACTTGCCCGTTTCTGAGAGTGGGAGGTAGGCATCTGATATGATATATAAACCAATGGACGTTGATGGGTAAACAGGATAACGTGGCTCAAAGAGAGATTTGATTACGGTGAGTGGCGCCTGTAATCCACTCTAATAGTACTTGGTTAGCAATGTTATGAGTTATACCTACAGTTCGAACTTCGTAACCAGGCAAATCCTAAGGAGCTGGCAGTTTAAATGATAAATTTTAACGAATCCTCATGTAATAATAATTGAAATGTAATTCTTTATTGTGTATATCTGAAAATATACTGAAGTCCAAATGGACTGTAGTCATATTATGTGAAATATCGACTTCATAAGAGAAATATAATTGTATAATAAATCGTGTTGAATGATGTAACAACTAAATAGTTATTCATGACGTGTGAATTTTTGAGTGTGATTTATCAGAGTGCCAGTTAATATTGTATACTTTTTATTTTGCTCATGAAGATGCATTTATATCAGACTATATTTATATATAAGATGCAAAACAACAGTGATTTTATTATAAGAGTGGCTGTAATATTGTCTTCCTATTACTCATAAAAATAAGCTAACATAGGCATCGCATTGTAAATGACTTTCAAAAAAGGTAATGACGACACATCTGCTTAAGTGTGTACCCAGTCTGCGTAACTAATATCTACCCTTTATTACAGATTGGCAACACTGCTATAACAAGCCACCGTTAGCACGAGTGTCTCTTAAGGGTTTGGTATAATGAAGTATAGGTAGGAGTTCGAAAGTTGGTAATTCCAAGCAGAAGGATATTGTATGCTAATAGAGAGCCATGAATTGCGTAAAGTATTCGGGACTTTACTCCCGACAAGGAATATAACACCCACGTTAAGAAAATTGCCTTAATGCCTAGTCGTGCCTTTCTATACTGAACCAATCACTTAAAGTCAATATTGAAATGCACGAACAGAAATCAAATTATTATCCAGTCCAGATTTTATAAATCTTTTATCGAATTGTTGGCTTATTAAGTAGTCTATCTTGTAAATACGACGAATATTTAAATGATGTATCTTACTTATTCCCCAGTTTACCTCTTGCTAAATCTTATTTACGTTATTTCACAGACGTTAAAATAATGTTTAGGTGTATGTGAAGCAAATGTATGCACGACATAACCGCCTCCGGGCGCGAGGTCCGTCTTTCGCAGCTCGCTGCGGCCTTCTTTTAACCCATCATACCACGCAGCTCCGTATTTGCTGTGCTTTGGACATTAACTAAAGATCATAACCTTTCTTCCACGGAAACTGTACATGACAGAGAAAGTTACTGTGATCGTTGTATGCTGAATCATTGCTATTGTAAATATGTTAATGTTTCAAACTTGAGAATAATGAATATTTATGTAAGTTACTGACATGTATTTTGACACATGAGAGCGAAGTGTTGACAGTGCTGTTGTGTGTACATAATTTGATGATAAATAAAGTAATATTCACAATTTGTTGGGTTATTATTCAGCTGTTTTGCCTTTTCCTTTATTATACATATTTTAAAATGCAAACGGAGGATTACTGCCTTCTAAGAATCACTTGACTCGAGTGTTTTGTAGAACAAACGTCAAATAAATTATATGTATCATAGGAATTACAGATAACTTTTTGGCTTTATAATGAATACAATTACTATAATAAATTACACCGTCGTGGAAAGAACTGATAGTTTAGCAAGCATTTGACTAAAACAATCACCATATTTTAAAATATTTACTTTTTAAAATGATAAATTTTTAGGAAGGAAAATGTTTATCATTAAATTTACAGCACGTGCTGTTTGATTCGAATAATTTTACAATGTATTTTTATAACTAAATACAAGGAATCATATCTTCTTCGTATGAATTCCAATATAGTCTTGAGTTGTGTAGTGTCAGTTGCGTAGTGTTGTGAAGTGGAACAGATGTGATTGACATCTTAGCAAAGTCCTGATGCTCTTGGCGATGAAGACGTCGCTGTTTGCTCTGTGGGGTTGATGCTGTGGAGAGCATTGGCCATCGCAGGAGAGGAGAATAACGGTGCGTCAGGATGGCGCCCCGCCCTCTCCAAACACTCGCCAACGTTCGGGGAAAGCGAAAAGAGGCTAATATTTGCATATTCGAAACGCTTCCGACATAATGGAATCCAGGCAAAATGGCCGCGCTATTTTAAAGGGTCCTCTGAATATTCACGAGCATTGTAGGTGCCAAGTACACGAGAAAGTTGTCTTACTTGAGATAATAGATGAAGCTGTTTTCATATAAATTTTCTGATTAAGTAACTTGATGGATTATCTCTAAACTTAAAGTTTATAAATATCTTTCTTACTGATCAATGAGCAATTATTGGAAATTTATAAACATTGAATTGTTAAGAAATTGAAATATAGAATGTACCGATTTAGATACTGTTTAAGTTGAA